TCCACAGGGAATGCCCGAGAAGGTGGGGTGATACAGAATGACATAAAACCATCTCAGTCTAGATTTCAACCAATCATGCATAGAAAAACACATATGGACAAGCATTCTATCCAATCTTATAAAACATACGTAATGGTAGTTAAAACAAAGACTGGTTCATAAGAGACAAAGAACAGAGCTCTATTCATGCTAACCTTCTAAAGATATACATTAAATAACCTTATTGCCATCCATAAGCCAATTCTACAGAGGCCTATTGTTATTTGTCACGTATGCTCTACTGCTTGGGAAACTTTTCTGCTGTATCTGCAATGCTAACAAAACTTCAGTCTGAGGCCTGTACTTTTTTAACCATTTCCTAAAAACCCTCTAACTTTAGGGATTCCAACAATTCCCCCTCTCTGTTTTACCCAGAAGCTTTCATTTTCTTGTCGCTTACTACTAGCGTTTCATAGCTCTATTGCAAAATTTTCTGCTTATTATCTGTTGGAGACCTATTTGCACTAAACTGAGGCATCACTATATTACGGCACAGCAACTTAATGCTGTGAAGGCCCAGTCCTCGAAAGAGACATGAATCACGTTTGGTGATAGTCACAAGTCATTGTTCGAAAAACTCTGGTCGATTCCAAGGTCTTAATTCAAAACCTTCGTTCATGTGTATACCTTCATCTACTGCTTTCATGAGATTTCGAACACTCTCTGTGTTTCTACTTCCTAACTCTCCTGCTTGTATGATGAAAACTTCTCGGACTGTTTTGTTCATCATTCGCCGAACACAACAAATATACAAGGTACCACTATCAATATCAGTATTAGAACACCTAATACATAAAGACCTATCTTGCAAAGTTGCCTTAGCCAAGGTGCAAAACTCCATTTTTGAAACAAATCATCCAGCCAGGAACCTGCATCTTCTTTAATTTGGGCTGTCAGGTCCTTTAATTTTTGAATGCTTTTGTGAATGTATTCAGAATGATCAGACAAATTCATACAACACAATCCTTCAAATTCCTCAAAACCATGCCCCCGTACCAGTAAAAGAAAATCAATGGCTGCTCTGTTTTGAAGAGTAGCATGTCTAATACTATCAACATCGGTCAACATATCACTGATTGCAGAGAATGTGGCATTAGCTTGTTTGCTCAGCCAGCATCCAACTCGATCTAATTGTCTCAATGCCACTGCTGAAGCCAATTGAGGTAAAAATATACCTGCTGGAACCCTTCTGGCAGCATTCCAAGGCATAAAATCACTCTGACAGTTCTCATCATAATGAGGGACAGCTCTCGTACTTCTTTGTTTCTTTTTCATCACTGCTTTGGCAGTGGGGGAAATTATAGTGAGTGTACCAATGCTACAAGGGCCACCTTCAAGGTGAGCTGGAATGCCTTGCCAAGCTCTGTCTCCGCAAATGAATCAATACCCTTTCGGCAATTGCCGTGGATATTGATCCGTCTCAGGAAGCACATCCCAACTGTTTGAAACATTACACCAAAACCTCAAATTTTTATATGCAAAATAATGAGGAGTAACACTGAACTTTGGGGGATCACCTTTTCACCAGGCACGAGTCATGAAAGTAAAACAAAAATCTGTGGTCAAAGAACCAAGGATTTCCAATTCTTGAGGTTCAGATGCTGCCCTGAGAAGTTTTTTGGACCAAACGTTCCAATTGAAGGAAGAATTGTTTCCTTTGTCAATTCCACCTGGCCTACCATTGGATTGTTTTTTGACCAAAGGCAACTCTTTCACTGGCACACCAACCAGACAGATTGAAAAAGGCTTTTCTGGTTCCGAATTAGACAGACATATAGTATCCGATCTGGCACCCTTGGCTAAAGTCACCCAAACATTCGTTTTCGGTTGTTCCACAGGCAAATCTGCATGACAAAAAACATTTAAAATCAAGCAAAACAAGTATACCATTTGCACTTGCCCCATCTCTTTCATGAACTAAGACTTGGCAGAATTCTTTCAACACAAAAACAGTAACCTAAACTTTTGCCAAAAATTAGCTCTGTTAAACAAGCATTCAGCATTCAATTGGCATATTCATAAATAACATTGACACAAAATCAGAGTTCATGGGTTCCACCAATGCACAGAGAACGTCAGGCACAAGGAGTGTCAGGTGAGACCCGGAATCCTTCAATTCGGTTCACGTCTGCGTACTTGCTTCCTCGGTTCTGGGCTTGTCAACAGATTCTGAGGTGCGATATGGTTTGACGTTTTTGGCAGGGACCCACTTAATTCCAGCACCTGTGGAGACAGAAGCATACCCTTTGCCCCACGTTATTAATTGGAACGGACCTTCCATCTGTCCAGAGTCAGGGTTTCTAATTAGAACAGGAGGATGTTCTTTCAGTTTTGCCTGTGTGTTATTTGAAAAGTGCCTAAAAATTGGTGGATCTGGTTCTGTACTTGAACGGTTTGGAAAATTAAAAACGTACAGAGCCTTATTCAGTCTCATCTGTGGGGTAATCTCCATTCCCCCTCTCTGTTGATCTAATATGCATTTTAGGGTTTGATGTGTTCTTTCAATGATTGCTTGGCTTGTGGGAGAGTGGGGAATAGCAAAAATGTGTTGAACACCCCATTCATTTAAAAATGTGGCCAATTTTTGAGATATGTATGCAGGACCGTTGTCAGTTTTTACCTCTTGGGGTACACCCAATGAAGCAAAAGCTTGCAGGAAATTATGACAGGCATGGCTGCCAGTTTCACCTGTGTGAAGGGAAGCAAAAACTGCACCAGAGAACATGTCTGTGGAAACACGTTCCGTAGGATATTTAGTGATATCTGTTTGCCACAACTGTAGGCTTTGTAAGCCTCGGGGGTTGATTGCTCCTGTAGAAACAGGAGGTTGTACCAGTTGACAGTCAGGGCAAGTATGAATGATAGTTTTAGCTTGACTTTTAGTGATTTGGAACATTCACATGAGCGCTTGTGCATTTTGGTGGAAAAAGGCATGACTCAATTTTGCTTGTTCAAAAATGTTTGGCAATGTGTTAGAAATGACCATTGTCAGCTTGTCCGCTCTTGCACTAAAAATCCAGGAAGTGAAGAATGCGCCCTAATGTGAGAAACAAAATATGGATTAGTTCTATATTGCAAAGTTGTAAAAAGACATGAAAGCCAAGGATGTAAAGTTTCATTAGTAACATCTTTTAAAATTGAACCTTCTATTCTCCTGACTACATTAGCAACATAAGGAGAATCTGTGACCAAATTAAGAGGTTGAGGGAAAAGCTGAAAAGCTCAAACTACTGCAGCAAGCTCAACAATTTGAGGGGATCCCTCTATGGTTTGAATATCAGATTCCCAAACATTAGTTTTTTGATTAAACCAAGTTACAACGGACTTGTGGCTCTTGCCAGAGCCATCAGTGAAGAGTGTCACGGCATTTAAAGGTTCTTCACTTGATTTAGGTTTTTCTCAGAAACTCAATTTTGCTTGCAGTAGTTTGTGAGCTGGATAGTGTATGGAACAAACACCTGGGAAAACCAAAAATGCACATTGTAAATCATCAGAATTTTGCATTGCCCAATTGAAGTAATAATTTTTCAATGGCAGATAGATAACTGAAAATTCTTGTCCTGCCAAAGTTAACAATCTGGTTCTAGCCTTAATTATAATGTATGCAATCATTTCTAAAACTGTGAAAATGGTCTTTGGAAACCTCTAGGGAGGAAAAACCCATTCAATGATTAAAGTTTCCATGGCAACCATCAGCAGCCTCCTGCTGCTATGGTCAGTTTCCATGGCAACCATCACCCCATCACCAGCCCCCTGTTGCTATGGAATGTTTCCGTTGCAACCATCACAAGCCCCATGTTGCTATGGTCAGTTTCCGTGGCAACCATCACTAGCCCCCTCTTGCTATGGTCAGTTTCCATGGCAACAATCCCCAGCCCCCTGTTGCTATGCTCAGTCCCTTGGCAGCTCCATGGAGACCCCATGCCAGGGGTGGTTGCCATGGACACCAGCTCAGGCCTGCAGCCAGAGCCCGTTGCCATGGCAACCATTGGCAGCCCCCATCCCCAGGCTCATGGGATCCCAGAACCACAGAATTGGCTGAGCTGGGAGGGACCCATCAGGATCCTCCAGTCCAACTGCTGGCCCTGCACAGGACACCCCAACAACACCAGCCTGGGCCTGGCAGCGCTGTCCAAACACTGCTGCAGCTCAGAGAGCCCTGGAGCTGGGACCCTTCCCTGGGGAGCCTGGGCAGGGCCCCAGCAGCCTCTGGGCAAAAACCTTTTCCTGACATCCAACCAGAGCCTGCCCCGACTCAGCTGCAGCCATTCCCTCCACTCCTGTCCCTGGGCACCCGAGGGAAGAGGTTCCCACAGCCCCAGCCAGGGACCTGCTCCCAGGGCTGTTGCCATGGCCACCAGGGCTGGGACCAGCTGGGATGCTCGGTTTCCACAGACAGGGGTGCAGGAATGGGATTCCTCAGTTTTCTGCTTCTGCTAAAACCGCGCTGCCCTTGCTGCCCTCCCACCTCCCATGGAAAGCACAAAAGGCAAAGATCCCAGGCTGGGATAAGAACAATTTACTGGGAACAGCAATGAGATAAGGAACAAACAGAAACAGAAATTATATTGATAACAGAAAGGATTAAAAAAACTGTTTACAGGGAAAACTAATACATCAACAACATGCTCTTCCTGGCCACAATTTCCCCTGCCTGGAAAGGACACCCTTCTCCTCAGGGAGAGAGAGAGAGAGAGTCTCTTTCCTGCCCCTGGCAATGTTCTGAGGTGCGAGTGAATGTAATTACACGGCCATGGCCAGATCCTCATGTTCCTCCATCCCACATCATGTCTTTGGCAAGGGCAGGAAAAGGGACAGGTGTCTTCCCAGCATGGACCACAGGGAAACTGGATCACCAGGGATCTTCCCAATATGGGTTCTCCCATGGGGGATGAAGCTGGAGTGGTGCATGAAGCTGTTCCTGCATTTGTGGCATTTGCAGGGCTTCCCTTACTGGTGGCTCTGTTGGTGTCTGGTCAAGTGAGAGCTGGTGGTGAAGCTTTTCCCACACTGGGGACACTCGTAGGGCCTCTCCCCTGTGTGGATGTGCTGGTGGATGATGAGGGTGGAGTTGCGCTTGAATCCCTTCCCGCACTCAGGGCAGCACAAGGGCCTCTCTCCAGTGTGAATCCGCTCATGCAGGAGGAGATGTGAGCTGGTCTGAAACCTCTTCCCACAGGTGGGGCACTGGTAGGGCCTCTCCCCAGTGTGGATGCGCCGGTGCTTGATGAGGTTGGAGTTGTGCTTGAAGCCCTTCCCGCACTCAGGGCATTGGAAGGGCCTCTCCTCGGTGTGAATCCGCTGGTGCTGGAGGAGACTGGAGCTGGTCTGAAACCTCTTCTGACACTGGGGACACTTGTAGGGCCTCTCCCCAGTGTGGATGCGTTGGTGGATCACAAGGTTGGATCTGTAGCTGAAGCCCTTCCCACACTCCCCACACTCATAGGGCCATTCCCCGGTGTGGATCATCTGGTGGCTGATCAGGTGGGAGCTCCGCCTAAAGCTCTTCCCACACTGCAAGCACTTGTGGGGCTTCTCCCCATCATGAAGCTGCTCATGGACCACCAGCTCTGAGCTCTGTCTGAAGCTCTGTCCACCTTCCTGGCTCAGGGTGTCTCTTCTTCAGAGTACCCTGGGCTGGGTTTGGAGCCCCTCCTCATGGAGGATGTCTGAGGTTTTTCTTCCCTGTTGGATTCCTGTGCGCTAGAATCACTCAAAATGGCCTCTTTCACGAGGTTCTGCCATGCAGATTTTTCCTCCCTGGTCTCCATCCTCAGTTCCTTCCCTGGAGAAGGAAGGACAAGGACAGGATGGGATTTGCCTCCATGCCAGAGGGAAGGGGAAGGAGATCCCTCCAGTACATCCCTGGCAGAACGGCGTTGGCAGCAGGGTTGTCCTGCAGCCAGGGGCTGTGCTGGGCTGGGAGATAGAGCAGGAGAGAGGGGGAAATAAGAACTGACTTCCTCCTCACCTATCTGGGTGTCCTGGGGATCCTTACTGTTCCTCACAGCCTCCTTCTCCATCCAATCAAGGTTTGGGAATGGGAAATCCTGTTCTGGGAAGAAAACAAAGGGTGCGCACATTGTCTTTTGTACTGGTTTGAAGGCAAACCTGGGGAGGGTCTAAACCAGAATTACAATTTAAAAGAAAAAGATGATCAAGGCAATGATACAGAAACACTGCCTTAAACTGACAGAGTCAGGATATAACCTGACACCCTGTTGGTCAGGGTGGTGGCAGCAGTCCCAGTAAATGGTGGCTGCAGTCCTGTTGGAGTGATGAAGGTGATTCTGTCAAAGCAGTGATCCTGTAGAAGGGTCTGGTCTTCCTCTGGAGGTCCAGTGGTGCTTTTGGAGCTCTTGTCTTCTGGGAATCCAGTAGGCAAGCTGCTCCTGGTGTAGCAAAGTGTCACCTTATATCCAGGTAGGAATGCTTGGATCCTCAGCCTGGGTGGAGCATCCCACAATGGGAGGATGGAATTTTATCAGTCCTGCAGTGACACTCAATGGCCCATCAGCAGAAGATATCTCCCCTGGAGAGCTTTATCAGGGCTGAGTCATGGAAGAGATAAAGAACAATGCCTCACCTGTTTATAACAGTTGCTGAAGATGGGGATTGAAAACATGCATTTGGTTACATCTTGCATGGCAACCTGAAACAGTGGGGTAATCCCTGCTCAGGGGATGAACACCACCCCCCATACCCAAACTGGCTCAGCTGTAAAACCCCCACCCTGGGAAGGGCACACACACGAGACAATGTCACACTTACCCTGCCCCAGGGGAGGGCTCTTTTTCCTGTTATTCCCTTCCTTTCCCGCCCTTTCTATCCCATTTACTGTTCAATAAAATCTGCCTTGGATTTGGTCTCATTATCACCTTAATTGGGGCAGAGGAATCTCTCTAACACTTTTCTTAACCAGACTCACCAGACTGTGAAATTATTTTGGCACAGTGAGTTTAGGCACTGTTCTCTGACCCCAAGTGCCTTTGACAACACCATGGTTCCCTCCTCTGAGGAGGTTGTGGTTCTCTCTGCAGGAACTCTTTGAAACTGGGCTGCAGCTTCCTCTGAGTGACTTATCGGAGAACTGATGAGGTAAATCGCCTTTGTGGGCCCGGAGTGTAAAGAAAATTTTTGTTGTCCTTCTATTACAGCGACCTGATGAAGGTCTTCAGGGTGAGAGAAGTGGATGAGAATCTTGGTTCATGATCAGAAGGCTGGATTTATTGATATATGATATATAATACATTATAACTATACTAAAAGGAATAAAGAGAAAAGTTGCAGAGGCTTGCTAAGCTAAGAATAGAAAGAAAAGAATGAATAACAAAGTTCTGTGTCCAGCAGAAAGCAAGGACCAACTCTCCCATTAGTGGTCAGCAAATCCAAACCCTCACAGAAGACCAATCACAGATGCTCCTGTTACATTCCACATCAGCCAATAATTATTGTTTGCATTTTTCTTCTGGGGCCCCAGCTTCCCAGAAAGGACAAATCCTAAAAAAAAGGATTTTATGAAAAAATGTCTGTGACATCATTCCTTGAAATGTTTTTTAAAATCACAGGAGGAAAGGGAGCAAATGATAGCAGCGAGGCTGACAAGGTTCATTCACCCCATGGTGAGGAACACAAGGCTGCTAAAAGTCCTACAAGAAGCTGTAGTCGATAGGGTTAAGCGCTCGGAAAATCTCGTGATGTCACAGAAAGCAGTAGAATTCCTCTCCCCCTAACGCCTAGTGATAAAGGATCACCCAAGAATGTAGTCCCCCCTAACATTAGTAACTTTTGACTCCTTACTAACCAATTACAGTAAAGTAAGACCCCCTGACGTAGAGAGAAAACTCCCAGTATAAAACCCGATGAGACGGGACAATAAAGGTCTTGAACCGTCCACCATACTGGTGCTAGCGTGTGTTCTTGGCCCGAGTGACCCTGGAGAGTTTGGGTCGCCGTGCCGTTTCCTCAGAGCCAGGTCGCCTTGCCTCGCATCAGAAGGCAACAGAAGCTCAGCTCAAGTAGCTAAATTCCCAAATAACTCCTGAATTCCCAGGCTTGAGTGCTTTGCGAAATGTGAGAATCATTTTTCTCTTCATCCCTGTCGCCTTTGTGACAGCTACAAAGAGTTTACTTTCCTTTTAATGATATCTGTATTGGGCTGAATTTACACTTTTATCAGAATGTGCTAGCAGCTGAGCTGGAGCTGTGCAGGAACCAGTGGAACTTGGAATTGCCACAAAATTGATTGTACTGTCAGTTTATAATGTTTGGGATTTGTTTGCATTTTCATCATATCTGACTTGTGTGAAAATCAAATATTCATCAAAGTGATTTATGCAGAGTCAAGTTTGATTTCTGCCAAATTATTTTGTCCAGTGCCCAGGGGATGCTCGAGGGGTCTCTGTGCCTCTCGCCCTGGGGGATGCTTGGCAGGGGTTTGGGGGGATTGTCCCTGTCCCTGTTTCCCCAGGCCATTCCCCAGGGGGTCTCCATCATTTTCACCCAGGGAATGACTGGGGGGTTTCCCTCCCTCTCACCCCTGTGCCAGGGGGTGCTCGGGGCAGTCTCTGTCCCTCTCAGCCAGGGACATCCTGCAGTGACATCCACCATGTCCCACTCTGGGTGAGCTCAGTCCCAAACCTGACCCTGATCCTGGTCTCGATCTCACTCCATGTTTAGACACACTCACAGTTCTGTATTTAATCACATCCCAGTGCCAGACTTGTCTAGCCCTAGACCCAATCCCAACCCCAGCCCTAAAGTTAATCCCATGTCTAGCCTTTACCCCAATCCCAGCTCTAATCCAAACCTCAGCCCCAACTCCAATCCCAGCCCAAATTCCAGCCCCTTCCTAAATCCTCAGCCCCAAACCAAATCCCAGGTTCAGCCCTTCTGGGGGTGTGGGGGTGTCTCTGTTGCTCTGACCCCGATGATGTTTGGGTGAGGTCACAGCAGGGCTGAGAGGGACAGAGAACCCCCCGGCCTCCCCAGGTGTGAGAAGGTCGGAGAGCCCCCCCAGCCCTGAGCACCCTCAGCGGTGAGAGGGACACAGAGCCCCTGTCCCCAGCCCTGCACAGGCATTCCCTGAGGCCAGAGGGATGGAGACCCCCCGAGCATCCCCCAGGGTGAGGGAACAGAGACCCCCGAGCATCCCCTGGGCTGAGAGGGACAGAGACTGCCTCGAGCACCCCCTGGTACAGGGGTGAGAGGGAGGGAGACCCCCCAGGCATTCCCTGGGTGAGAATTATGGAGACCCCCTGTGAAATTGACTGGGGTGACAGGGACAGGGACAATCCCCTAGGGAATGGCCTTGCGTGACAGGGACAATCCCCCGGGGAATGGCCTGGGGTGACAGGGACAACCCTTCCAAGCCCCACCCAAGCATTCCTCAGGGCGAGAGGCGCAGAGACCCCTTCAGCATCTCCTGGACACAAGACAAAATAAACTTGGTAGAAATCAAACTTTGCATAAAATACTTTGATGAATATTTGATTTCCCACAAGTCACATGTGATGAAAACACAAACAAATCCCAACATGAATAAATGGACAATTCAAGCAGAGATGTGGCAATCCCAAGATTCATTGGTTTTTGCACAGCTCCAGCTCAGCTGCTGGCAGGTTCCAATAAAAGAAAAGTGAAAATTCGGCCCAATACATATCATGAAAAGGAAGGGAAAGCTCTGTGTAGCTGTCATAAAGGTGACGGGGACAAAGAGAATGATAATTCTCACATTTGCTAAAGCGCTCAAGCCTGGGAATTCAGGACTTATTCAGAAATTTAGCTACTTGAGCTGGGCTTCTTGTGGGACTTTCAGCCGTCTTGCGTTCCTCACCATGGGGTAAATGAACCTTGTCAGTCTCACTGGTAACATTTGCTCCGTTTCCTCCAGTGATTTTAACAACTTTATAAGGAAAGACAGCAAATTATTTTCTTTACAGTGGCCACCTATAAAAGCCATTTTTCTCATCATTTTTCCCATAAAGAAATAAAGATTTTAGAAGCTCCATAAGCTCCCCAGGAGGAAGGAGAGACTGTGTCCAAGTTTGCAAGAGTTCTCCCAGAAAGAACCACAACCTCCTCAGTGGAGGGAACCATGCTGTTGTCAAAGGCACTTGGGGTCAGAGAACAGTGCCCTGAACTCACTGTGCCAAAATAATAGGGCAGTGGGGTCAAAAAAATTGTTAGAGAGATGTCTCTGCCCCAATTAAGGTGCTAACGAGACCAAATCCAAGGCGGATTTTATTGAACTGTAAACGTGAGGTAGAGAGAGAGATGGAAAGAAAGAGAAAAGATGAGTGACAAGGGATAGAGACCTCCCCTGGAGCAGGGCAAGTGTGAAATTGTCCTCTCTGTGTGTGTGGCCTTCCCGGGGTGGGGATTTTACAGCTGAGCCAGTTTGGGTATGGGGGGTGGTGTTCACCCCCTGAGCAGGGATTACCCCACTGTTTCAGGTTGCCATGCAAGATGTAACCAAATGCATGTTTTCAATCCCCACCTTCAGCAACTGTTATAAACAGGTGAGGCATTGTTCTTTATCTC